TCACTTGAGTGTGTGGTCAGGACTTCCAAAGCCATCTGACTTCTTTTTCCATGGCATTTGTATATATTAGAAATCTGGGATCTGCAACTTGCCAATTAGAAAAACTAGTTTAAAATGTGGTGTGGTAATGTAAAGTAAGCTCTTGCTTTTCTTGGCAGGAAATTTGTTGAGCACTTAAATGTGCAACCTTTCCAGTAGCTTTTTTACTTATTTTGCGAGTATGGTCAACCATACAGGCTAAAAATCTGGGATCTGCAACTTGCCAATGGGAAAAACTAGTGTAAGAAAATATAGTTTGGTAATGTAAAGTATGCTCTTGCTTTCTTGGCGTGAATTTGGATCAATAACATTTGAACTATGTCCACTTATTTATTTATTCATTTTTTTTTTGATAAAACAGAAAGTTCACAAGAGGAAGAAAGTGCATAGTGGGAGGATAAGATAGCAGTCTAGTAAATAACAAAAAAAGAGAAAGAAGTTGAAGAAAGAAAATGTTAGGACCCGGCTTTGATATGTTATTTACCGGACTCATAATTGGGAAAAAATATTAAACTTTTAAATATTTGTGGGGTAATTTTGAGAAATTTAAAAGATTGGAGGTAAAATTAAAATTTAAAGAAATAGAGATGATAGAAAAGGAATTTAGAAAAAAAAGAAGGTTTTGGAAGAAAGAGAAGAGAGGGAGTCGGGGAGAGAGAAGAAAAGAGTTTGAGAGAGAGAGAGAAGAGTCCTTAGAGAGAGAAAGAGAGAGAATATAGATATGAGAAAGAGAGAATATTTTAGAGAGAGACTAGCTTTAGAGAGAGAAGGAGACTGTGGAGAGAGGAAGAAGCTGTTAGAGAGAGAAAGAAAGGAAATAGAAAGATAAGCAGAGAAAGGAGAGAGAAAAGAGAGATAGAGATTGGAATAGAGGAGAGATAATTTATTTGAGATTCGTTTCTAAAAGATTACATGATACATGTTTACAACTATCATTTAAATACATAAATCAATCGTCGCCATGAATCGGAATGATGAAGGGAAGCTGTCTGTTCAGGCGGTGACGCATCGGCTGGAGAAGAAGATGAAAAGTTGTTCTGGTCCGAATGAGGATGAAGAATTGGTCCATGCCGGTTCACTTGGTAAGGAACCAGTTCAGAATTGTTCCATGTGATTGAACCTTTTCTTTCTTTTTTTTTTCCCATTTGCTGTATATTTCACTGTTCTTTTCATACGCCCATGCTTACAGCCATATATATATAATATAATATATATATATATAGTTTAATTTTTCTGGGATCTGACAATTCCCTCCACGTGGACATCAACCTTGTTCTCAAGGTTGAGATTCAACTCTAATTTGTTTTTTTGGAATTATTATATATATATTTGAAAGTATTTCTACTGCTTAAACCCGTAGAAATTAAATCTTCTTGGCCTGCCCCGCACACCATCGGTGCGGTAATGTCTTCTTCTTCCTTTCGCTTCTTCTTAGGCCTCCTCTTCTCTTCTTCCGATTCTTCTTCTGGTTTTTCTTCTGCAATATCTTAAGATGTGTCTTCTTCTTCTTCGCGCCGCAGAGGGAAAAGAAGAGTCCCACTTGCGCTTTGTGCACGGCTGCAACAGCAGCCGTTGGTTTTGCGTCCTCTGGGGAGGTAATGCCGCCACTTAGCAATTGAATCATCAGATCAATTTTTTGCTCTATCTGGTCGAAGAGTTTAGCGGTGTTAGCCATCACCACCTCCCATTGGGATCTGATACGCGGTTCTGATATCAAGTTGGTAGGACCTGGCTTTGACATGTGATTTACTGGACTCATAATTGAGAAAAAATATTAAACTTCAAACATTTGTGGGGTAATTTTGAGAAATTTAAAAGATTAGAGGTAAAATTAGAATTTAAAGAAATAGAGAGGATAGTAAAGGAATTTAGAAAAAGAAAGGTTTTGGAACAAAGAGAAGGGAGGGAGTCGGGGTGAGAGAAGAAAAGAGTTTGAGAGAGAGAGAGAGAGAAGAGTCCGTAGAGAGAGAAAAAGAGAATATAGATATGAGAAGAGAGAATATTTTAGAGAGAGACTGGTTTTAGAGAGAGAAAGATACTGTAGAGAGAGAAAGAACTGTTAAATAGAGAAAGAGACTATAGAGAGAGGAAGAAGCTGTTAGAGAGAGAAAGAAAGGAAAATAGAAAGATAAGCAGAGAAAGGAGAAAGAAAAGAGAGATAGAGATTAGGATAGAGGATAGATAATTTATTTGAGATTCATTTTCAAAAGATTATATGATACATCTTGTTTACAACTATCATTTAAATACATAAATCAATCGTCGCCATGAATTGAAATGATGAAGGGAAGCTGTCTGTTCGGGTGGTGATGCATCAGCTGAAGAAGAAGATGAAAAGTTGTCCTGGTCCGAATGAGGATGAAGAAGTGGTTCATGCCGGTTCACTTGTTAAGGAACCGGTTCGGAATTGTTCCATGTGATTGAGCCTTTTCTTTCTTTTTTTTTTCCATTTGCTGTATATCTCACTGTTCTTTTCATACACCCATGCTTACAGCCACATATATATATATATAATATTTTATATATTTTAATTTTTCTGGGATCTGACAGAAAATCTAGCTAGAAAATAGTTAAGCAGCCGGGTTCTTTTTGTAGAATGGACAAGAGATCCCTGTAAAAACAAAATATATCACTCTACTAAAAGTATCGTGGGAATTGAATGCATCCTTTTATTCACCAGTACATGTTTTATTTTTATGTTCCTATACTTTTCGAAAGGAAATTTTTGTTGAGTTGTGACTCATATTTTCCAGAGAGTTACCCTTCACAAAATGATTCCTGTCATGGGAGGACCCGCCTTCCCTGGCCAGGTGATGGTAAATCATTGTCTTGTCTTGGCACTACCGTTGTGTATTTGCTGGGTGGCAGGCCTTGGAGGGTCTTTTGTTATGGGGGTATTCTTATAATTTTTGGGTTTTTCTTATTTAACTATACAAAGGAAAATTTCTCAGTCTAAGATTCAGTTTCTCAATAGAATATTTTCACTGGCAGTTATGTGGCATCAGCACATCACTGAATCACATTACAATTTTCTGTTTTCTTCCTCAGTCTCACTTTTACTTTAATTTGTGTTTGTTGCATGGGAATCTTCTTTATGATCTTATATTATATTTTTTATGGATCAATGAATGTCTTCTGATTGTTGAACTTCCATAATCAGTTTTCGAAGTATGTTGTATCACGAGGGAAGTGGGTGATTAAATTTCATACACATGTTGTCAAGGTCTAGTTATGATGCTGTTTTTGAGGGTATTTGGAAGTCTATGTATGGAGTGAACTTTTTGTTTTTCTAGTCTTCTTGTTCTTCATGTTGTTATGAAGCCGTCTTGACCACTGTTGTTTTTTGCTAGTCGTGCTAGTAGGAGCACATAAAAATACTCCTAGGTGCTTCAGTGAACTACTTGTGGACTTTATTGCAGAAAATTGGTTCGAGTTTGATTCTTTCCTCGTATCATCTTTATCTTTGTGGTTACAAATCCTAACATAAATAAATAGCATCTGTTTCCTCAGAAATGTATTTCCCTCTGGAAATTGTGATGAACTGGAAATCTGTTACGTTATTTCTTATAGTTACAAAATTGTTAAATCTTTGGTTTAAAATGATTTGATAGGGTTATCTTGCGCAAGTTCTTTCCTTTCAGTATGGGCATTCTGTAGTTGCAATTGATGCTTCACCTCTTCATGGAAAGGTTACCGGTGCACGGGCAGAACGAATCGAGAAGCATTATGCAGCTCAGAATCGTAAATCTGGGTACGGGGCAGAACTATTTTTTTTTTTCTTTTTGTGGTCCTATATATAAAAGATTGATTATCAGTATAAGCCACAGCCTATGATTTTCTCACCTGGGGATTAGTATTAACCAGGTATGGATGCCTTCATAATTTAAGTTATTAGGTTATTGATTGTAGGTCTCGTTCATCTGCTCAGGAAGGTGGTCATGAAGTTTTTCCTTACCTTCGTAGCATATAATCCAGAACCACTTTGCTGTTTTCTTCTATTACTTTTGGTTTAGATTTCATTTCAGGACTTTTAATCTCAATTCCAATTACATTTTGTGGTAAATATTTTTATGTATTTGATGGGAATTTTTATGTTTTATTATTTTTTGTTGTAAGAAATGTTTCATTTTCATAATTGAATAACATTTTACATGTTTTGTACTACTAAACAATTCTGAACTTGATCCTTGTAGTTCAACAACCAAGAGTCCGAACGTGCCAAAGACAATTACATGCCATTTAATGTCAGTTGATGATATGATGAAGGCCTTGACTGAGATTTCACTTCATAAAGATGATAATGGGGTTGAATTGAATGAGCAAAATGAAGCTTTTGACCGGAGAAGTTCACACTCTTTGCACTATCCAAACAGTCAGAGTCAGAGTTCATTGGTTCTTTCTGGCCTCCATGCCTGTGGGGATCTTTCAGTAACCATGCTTAGG